AACTCATTGCCTTTTGTGATGCAGACTGAGGATCATGTCCAATCTCTAGGAGATCTGTGGCATGATGTGTGATGAAGCTGGGGGATTATTTTGTGCCGTGAAAATAAAAAAATAATGTACAATATCTAGGAGCTAAGCCAAAACTGAGTATAGAAGCATGACAACAGGTGTTTCAAATATTCTATGACTGGCAGGATTATGAAAGGAGTTGGGTGCAGATGTTCAATTACTAGTTGAGTTGAACTGTGATAATAAAGCAGCAATTCAAATCACAACAAACCTCATATTTCACGAGCAGACAAAGCATATAGAGATAGATCTATATTTTATAAGAGAAAGAATTCAACAAGGGATTGTTAGGACAAGATATGTTATGTCAAAAAACCAAGAAGTAGATTTGTTCACTAAGACTTTGGGGAAGACACAACATGAGTATTTGATGAGCAAGCTAGGAGTGCTTAACTTGTTTGCACCACCTAGATTGAGGGGGAAGTATTGAGGAAAAAAGGTGCACATGACTGTCACATGAGAAAGTAGTTGATTGTAAGTAATTATCAGATCAGTTAATTAGACAAAGATTAGGTAGGTAGATTAGGCGTATATTGGAGACAACTGTATATATAGATTGTACCTTCTCAATTTTCTCTCATCCAGACCTTGAGAGCTATTTCTAGAATTTTCTCCATTTCTCCTCCATTTCTGATCTTACATAGCTTTACTTGGATTCTCAATAATAAATAATTTAAAATTTTGGGGTGCACTCATGTATTTTCCTCGCTTATTTATATTAGGGACAATATATTAAGTTTGAATATTTACTTCAAAATACGAATCCTCAAAGAAGGAAATTTAATGAGAGATAAGCTGTATGAATTGAAAATTCGTTCAATCTAATTCAAACAAAATAACAAATGGGGAAAACGCGTGCAAATCCGTATAGGATGATAAGGGATTTGTGTTTTGATTCAATTTTATGATGCAAGCTCTCAATGCACTTGTCAAAAGGAAAAAAAGTTATTTCCTTCTATTTCCGTGGGCCTAAACAAGGAAAATGGTCATGCTTTATCCGAAATATCCCCTTTTTTCGTGGTCAATTATCCATTCATTCTATAATTTGTCAACCTCTTTAATATTAATCTAACTAAGAAATCTTAATATATCTAACACCTTCTCCTTCTCGTGCAAACACATCAAAACCCTTATCCTTACTCGGTCTTATCAGTATTTAGACTTCAAGGTATCTAAAATTCTCCAAAATACATTAGTAGTCAATTTTTACAAAACCTAGAAACTGGTCTAATAGCCCAATACAATGATGTACTAAAACTAAAAGAAGATTTTTGAAAGTTAAAATCTAGAAAAAGTTGGCTACAAGAAGGGGACGCCAAAACAAAAGTTTTTCACCTTACTACTTTAAAGCATCGTAGACGTAACCGTATTACTACTCTACAAGATTCAGTGGGCAATTAGATCTTAGACCAACGCGATATTAACCTCTATATAGAAGATCATTACCATGGCCTATTCACCACCAGTCACACCCACAATACCATTCCTAAGTTTTAAGCCACGCATCATGCCATCACCCCTACTGACCTTTTAAAACTTGATGCACCAATTACTTCGTTAGAAATCACCAATGCACTAAAAACTTTCCTAATCCTTTAAAGCCCCTGAACCGGATGGTCTCCATCTATATTTTTTCCAAACCTATTGGCCACTTGTCAATCACTCTATGGTTTCTTTTTGTAAGGAAATATTCAACTCACAAAAATTACCCCCTAAATTAAATAAAACTTATCTATGTCTCATTCCAAAAACACAACAACCCTCCCTCATCACCCAATATTGGCCTATCAATCTTTGCAACACTATATACAAGTTAATTACTAAAATTATTGTATTCCGTATTAAACCAATATTATCTATTCCCATCAGTTCGGAACAATCAGCTTTCTTACCTAACCGTAGAGCCTATGATAATGCGCTCCTTGTTCAAGAAATTATGCACCACTTTAAGAAGAAAAGAGGTGCCCAATCTTCTTTTCTCCTCAAACTAGACCTAGAGAAGACCTTTGATAAATTAGAATGGGGATTCATCCATGAAACCCTTCATTACTTCAAATTCCCACCTAAGTTAATCAAATTAATCATGTCTTGCATCGCAACTTCTACAATATCCATTCTCATTAATGGTCAACCCTCATCCTTCTTCTCACCTTCAAGAGGCATTAGACAGGGGATCCTCTATCACCCTACATATTCATACTATGTATGAAAATGCTCTCGCAAAAACTACACATGGAGGTATACTACCAAAAATGACAACCAATCAAATTATTCCGACAAGGACCACCACTCTCTCACCTTTTATTTGCAGACGACAACACTATTCTTTCTAAGAATAAATCCAATAGCATTAACTTCGTCATAGATTCCCTAAACTTCTTTACTCAAGTTTCAGGACTCATCATAAATTACAATAAATCAAAAAAAATCTTCTCAAAAAATACCTCCCAAATTGCTAAAGATATAATGATTACTTCCTTTCACATAAAGGATGGGTCAAAATTTGGCAAATATTTAGGATATCCTATCTTCACAAAGAAGCCTAAGACTGCTGACTTCCAATTCTTGTTAGATAACTTTAAGAATAGACTAGCGGGATGGAAAATAAATTGCCTTACAATGGCAGGCAGAACCACTCTTATTAAATCAACCCTAAATTGCCTACCCAACCATGTAATGCAAATGATCAAACTCCCCGCTCATATTACCAACAGGCTAGATCAATATCAGCGTAATTTTCTTTGGGGATCCACACCTCAATATGGTAAATTACACCTAATTAACTGGGGAACCGTTCAACAACCAAAACCTAGTGGAGGCCTGGGAATACAAAACCTAACTGCCAAAAATAGTGCCTTGTTAGGTTCCCTAGCCTGGAGATTGTTTAATTCCTCTTTATCCCACTGGGCCTCCATTATAATTTTCAAGTACACACACTCACCCACTTCTACTCATACCTTCTCTACTTGGAAAGTCATCCAACACGGATGGGCCTCATGTCAACTTGGTATCCGCTGGCATGTTGTTAATGACACTCATATTAAATTTTGGACAGAGCCTTGGCTTGGAACCAACCTCATACTCAGAAACCTAATTGCAGGACCCTTGCCCAGAAATGACCACTGTGCCACACTAGATTCCTATATACACGGGAACTTCCTAAACGTTCCTCAAATATCTTTTGAGCTCCCTCATGATTTACATCACCTACTTCAAAACCACTATATCCCTACACTCAATAATCACCAATATCATGATCACATTTACTGGAGCCTCACACCTAACGGGCAGTTCTCAGTTAAATTCATATATCGACAGCTACAGTCCAAATCAGAAAACCACTCTTTCCGATGGCTATGGAAACTACAACTATCTCAAAAGATAAAATATTTCCTTTGGCAAATGTCCCACCATCGATTACCCACGGCTAGTTACCTCTATACTATTCATGTCACTCGTAATCCTTTATGCCCAGTATGCCAGTACACAGCTGAAACTATAGCACATTTATTCTTTGAATGTCACCAAGCAAAAACAGTATGGCAACAACTAGACATTCAACATCAAAACATACATGTTCAAACACTCCATGAACAAACTGCCTTAAAACTCCCGCGTATCATTCTCCATAATAACCTTAATACCTCTATAACGAGCTATCCTACTATCATTTGCTATGCCACATATGAAAAAGTCGCAATCACCTAGTCTGTGACAATGTCAATCACCCTCCAAATATCCAGCACATTCTAGGTCAAGCTGCTGAGTATTTCCATCTAGATATTACACATAGCGCGCACAATAACCCTCACACCTACATAGATGTTAAGTGGAACCCTCCTTCACACAGAATGTATAAATTAAATTCAGACGGTGCATATACTTTCAAACATGGCAAAAGGGGGTTTGGGGGTGTAATTAGAGACTCCATGGGTAATTGGGTTATAGGGTATATGGGTACAAGGTCAACAGGCAACCATCACTACATGGAACTCACTGCCCTACTAGAAGGGTTACAACTTGCTCTACAGTACAAACTCGCCCCCTTGGAAGTTAATGTGGATTCCACTGAGGTAATCTCTCTACTCCGTCATCTTAATCCACATTACTCATCTTTAACGCATGAATGCAGGTACCTCCTCCAACAGCTGGATAGACCATTGGTCATACACACTTACAGGGAGCAAAATCAAGTAGCAGATACGCTTGCCAAACATGGGACCACATTAGCATGCAATGCTTCCACAACTGTTTTTTTTGCAACCACCTCCTTTTGTGATGCATGACTTTCTAGCAGACCAACGGGGGCACCTTTCACAGACGCCCTCTACGTACATCTCCTGCAGAGGAACCTATCTCTTTTTGTCTTGATAATGTGATGAACACCAGTATAGAAAATGTAGCAAACGCTGGTCCTAGTAGGGATAATGTAGTAACCACTGGGGAGAGTGATCAATTGTTTTTTTGTAATGCTGAATCCCCATCAGCTCATGCTCCTTGTAATACTACTTAACTTCTAATATATGTCTCCTTTATTGACAAAAGAAAAAGATACTTTTTAAAATTAATTTTTTTTTACAATATTTTTTCTTAGTTATAAAAATGTTCTGATACAAATTCAGAAAATACTTTGATATGTTGAGAAACTTTTTTTTCTTTTCTTCTTAAATTCCAACTTCTTCAAATACTGTCATATGAAACTAAACGGAAAGTACTATCTCCATGTTAAGAAAAGTGAAATTACAATATGTAAACACATTTATATAATTAATTGATTTTCGTAGTTTTCCGCCGATGTGAATATTATATTTTCCTTTTTTTTTTAATTCCCGCAGAATCCGACACACACAAAAGAGACGACCAAACCAAAAGTAAACCTAACCACGTACGCGTCCATTCCTCTATATATACACAACTATATATCCAGCTGTTCTAAACTGTCTTCTTACCACACTCTCTTTCTTTTTATACGTACATTTCTTTCCTTTGCAATAACAATACAGTACCAAAATCAAGTGCCTCACAAAATGGGTTCATCTTTATCTTTCCTTTTAATGCCACGTGTATCCACCACCACCTCGCCGCCGGCGAATCCCGGTCTCGGAGACTTGCCGGAGAGTTGTGTTGCGTCAGTTATGGTTTATTTAGACCCACAAGAGATCTGTAAAATTTCAATGCTAAATCGTGCTTTTAGGGACGCTTCTTCTGCTGATTTTGTATGGGAATCTAAATTGCCTTTGAATTATGGCTCTCTTATTGATAGAGTCTTTGCTGCTGATGATAATTTTCCTACCAATTTGTGTAAAAGGGATATTTATGCTAGGCTTTGTCGACCCAATTATTTTGATGGCGGCACAAAGGTCCAATCTTTACCCTTCTTATATTACTTCTTTATTTTTAGGATTTCTTTTATGTATATGAATTCCCAATTTCTATTGCATATATGGGGTTTAATTTGTTGTAAAAGTTTGATTGTTTCCACTTTTTTTGGTTCATTCTTGGAGAAGGATATATTTTTTTTCTTGAAAGATGCAGTTTTTTGATAGGAATTGTTCCATATTTATGTTGAAAATGATTGAACGAGAGTTAGGTGAAATGGGTTTGTCTACTTTTTAGGAAATATCATAGGGATATGCTTTTTCTGATTAAATATTCTGATGGATTTATTGATTGGGATGTATGCAGAAGGTTTGGTTAGATAAGGGAACAGGACGAGTTTGTCTATCGATATCTGCAAATGGATTGGCGATAACGGGCATTGATGATAGGAGATATTGGAGTCGTATTGAAACAGATGAATCTAGGTGAGAGGTTAAAATTGTTTTACTTCTGTTATCAAGTTATAGCAGAATGTGTATGTGTGTGTGTGTGTTTATTGATGGTGTGTGGTTTAGATTGGCTGATCAAGTCCAACTCTTCGGACAATTTTGATGAAATCCTCCTATTCAAAGGTTCTATTTATACATGATTTATGTTGTAAAGTTTGTGATCTCTTGTTTGATATGCTTGTGGTAGAGTGTATGAATTGAAGAAGTTTATTTTGTCTTCTATGTCTCCTTGAGTCCTTGTTCCCTATGGCACAGAAATTATATTATTCTTATATATAAATCTTGCCTGTTTACTTCTAAATTTTGAAAATGAAGCCTGAGTGGTAAATTGATTCCTTTATACAATTTCTTCTACTTGATACTTTAATCCCATTAGCAGTTTCTCACGCTGGCCTTCTGGGTATTTGGCTAAGTTGCTCCGATACGGCAGTTTAGGTGCCACACTTGTATCGACACGACAATAGTGTGGGTGTGGGTATGGAATCCGTACCGGATCTTTTCAAATGATTTTGGTACTTTGACCATAACGGAAGGAAAAATTCGAGACGAGATACAATTTGATTCTCGAAATCAGAACCAAAACTAGGGTAAATTTGAAGAAAATAGCATAGGAAATTAGTCCTTTAATTATCTACAACTTGAGAAATCCATACTTAACAAGCTATATATAAGTATTCCTCAAAATTTAGAATTTTTTTTATATTTTTAATTTTTGATTTTTTTGAATAATTTTTAGCTAGATCCCCGCGCACCCGCATCCGTAGTAGGATCCATATTCCCGAATCTTAGAATCTTAGAAGGATCCGACCTCTAGATCCTCACCCATGTCGAACACCCACACTCGTGTCCGGGCAACTTAGGTACTTTGAAATATATCTGAATTATTTGATACATCTATTGATCGGAAGATCTTTGCTTGAGATTTATAAGGGGCTTTGATACTTGTTATATCAATGTATTATCTTTAATTCAGGGAAACGTATTTGCTTGAAAAGAGAAACGTCCAAGTTCCACCTCTTCCAATGATTGCAAGTGATCATGATTATCTGGTAGTTCTAGTTGGGAACTCTCCTTACCATTAGTATGCTCATGCCTCATCACATTGGAAGCTTGTAATACCCAAGCAGACCTTAATGAAAGCATAGTTCCTTGTTTCTTAGAGGTTGGAAATACCATAAAAGTCCCCTCCCTGTTCCCTTGTAAACCACGAAAATTATTAGAGAGAATAAAGATGAATGTGTTTTTGACACCACACATTTTCACCTGCGTCGTGTCCGTGAGTAGTATTATGTTTCTCGGAAACTGCAATGGAGGATAAAATGAATTCCAATCACAGACTCAGAACTTCAAATGGGGCTTTAAGTATCAAATTTCATACACTAGATGTACAAAGCGTACATCTTTAGAATATATCTTACTACTTGTAGAATTTTCAAGAATACCTCTTTCGCCTAGCCTCCAATCAAAAGAGAAGTGAAAAATGATCTGTATTTGTTGAAAGGTCTGGATCTTAAGTATCACATACTTCATGTTTCAAATTTACTGCTATGTTGTCACACAAACTAAAAGCTAAGGTACGAAATCTTAATACAAAATACTTAAAGGATTTCTTCTCCTTTTTTTTGCCTGCAGATTCCAGTCCGTTGCATATCTCCAACAGATTTGGTGGTTTGAAGTCGATGGAGAGGTTGATTTCCCATTCCCAGTAGGGTCCTATAGCATTTTCTATAGGCTGCAAGTTGGACGTGCCTCTCGGAGATTTGGAAAGCGAATTTGCAACTCCGAGCATGTCCACGGATGGGATAAAAAACCAGTACAATTCCAGCTTTCAACATCAGACAACCAGCAAGCCACTACCCAGTGTTACTTGAAAGAAGCTGGAAAATGGAAATACCACCATGTAGGAGACTTTGTTGTCACAGGATCTACAGAAACCATGAAAGTTAAGTTCTCCATGACACAAATAGACTGCACACACACCAAAGGTGGACTTTGTGTAGATTCTGTGCTAATATGTCCGAGCGAGTTTACAGAGAGGTTAAAGCGTTTTTAGTGTGCTGCTAACCTTCTCATTAGGAAAGAGTTTGTAAAAGAGTTAGAGGTAGCAGTATCCATGGTTCTGGAGAAGTTACTCTTAGCAGCGACGGTGATCTATGTTAGATCGAGTAAATCTGTGTATACGTGTATGGCGGGGTCTTTTATTCCCAACTACTCGTATTTAGGTATGCGTAGTTCTTAGTGTATGTTAAATCGGACTACTTTTTGATGTGCACTTTGATCCTAGCAAGTGAATTGAATCTAGGAGTGCATATATTCTCCTTTTGAGTTTGATTTAAACGTTATATTGCTTTATCAACTTTCAATGAGAAAGCTTCCTCAAATTGTGTTTCTTAGAGTTCTTGGTGTTGAAGAGTAGAGCTTTTCTTCCAACAACTAATTCTTTGACTTATATATGGGGTTTTTACTTTTCTATACTATAATAGAAACCTATTTACCATCTTTATTTAAGTTATACATATGTTTTGATCGCTGTAAGCAGTCACTAGTTTAAGCTATTGGAGTCAATTCGGTTCATTCAGAAGCCCCTGCTGCGTAGCCCAACTTCTAAGCTTCAGCATGCTTATTACATGGGAGATTGACAGGAATGCAGGCTTATTACTTGGGAGATTGACAAGAATGGCCCCTTGGGGCTGATCTTAGCCGAGCGTCCTTAAAATTGGTGGTATTTGAGAAATGGCCCCACGCCCGTGCACTGCTCTTCAAGGGTTTTTCTACTGGATTAAATTTTCATTGAAGTCTACATGATTGTCATACTTTTTGCTCTTCGGGATTTCTCTATCGGATTGCTAGAGTTGATGTTATTATTACTCTACCTATTTGTTAAATTGTTCATCGAAGTCTATCCAATTATCATACTTTTGCTCTTCTCTATCGATGGTAAAATTGATGCTATATTTATTCTACCTATTTATTAAGCTGTTCATTGAAGTCTATCTGATTGACACACTTCTTCTAGGTTGTTTTAACAAAGTGTTATTCAAATTTGCAACTTCAGTTTCGATCAAACCACCCCAAATCTGCTCCAAATAATCTTAAATTTGAAACAAAACTTTCAAATACTAACATAAACAATCTCCAATCATCAATTTAGTCAAATAATACCAAATTGAAAAGACTCACTTTATCTTTTTAACACTTTCTAAGGTCCAACAATAGATTTTTAAGATTTTTACAATAAGTCACCAAAATTTGTGTTTGCACTAAACGCTTAAGCACAAATTATCAACATTCAAAGGATTTTAACAATAATCAATTATTAACTTCTATTTTTTATCACCAAACAAGAATTTCAAGCTTTAAAAATTAAAGAATTATATAACATTCAAGTTAAAAGCAGGAACATTTTTTGACTTAGGATTTTACATTTGTGATTTTACCATAGAGTCCATTTTCTAATTTGTGGTTGTGATTGTTGAATGTAATTCCTATAGGTTTTTTCCCTAATGAATTGAAGGATTAGGAATTCTATTTAGGGATTTTTCCCTTCTATACCATATATGAAACTTTATTACCAAATATGTGCATAGTATCTAAATTATCCGCCTAGTCTACATTTTTCCTACAATTCATGTACCATTCGTCTATTATGAATAATTAGGGCAGAATATTCCATAAAAACATGCTAAAAATCAGGAAAGAATCTTGGGATAGATTGATTCTACATTAACTTCAAGTTTTGAAAAGGAAAGGAGATTTCACATCTGCGTAATTTACTCTTAGAATACAATTCGAAATTTTTTTAAAAAAAAAATACGACCAGCTTCAACAAACTACGAACAGCTTCAACAAACTGAATTCAAATTGTAGAATTCAAATCTTCGAGATTCAACAACTCAACATTGGTATATTCTGTTCTTCGTTCGTTTTCAGAAAACAAATTGGCGATCATAAATCTGTTNCGTAATTTACTCTTAGAATACAATTCGAAATTTTTTTAAAAAAAAAATACGACCAGCTTCAACAAACTACGAACAGCTTCAACAAACTGAATT